GAGGACGCGCCCGGAAATGTCGGTTTTCACGACCAGTTATTGGCACTGAAATGGGTATAAATTAAATTATTATTTTTAGAATTTTCCTTTTCTGATAGAATTTATTTATTTATTTGTAACTATAGGTCAGAGATAACATTCATGCCTTTGGTGGGGACAGGGATCAGATCACTATATTTGGTCAGAGCGCCGGTAGTTGGTCAGTATCAGCACACATACTGTCGCCACTATCAAAAGGCCTGTTTAAGAGGGCTATTATGGAAAGTGGTTCTCATCTGTACAATAAGGACAGGGATGTGATCAGCAAAAGTGAATCAATACTTGTGGGCAAACAAATGGCTAAGGATTTCAAATGTAGTGAATCTGAGGATTGGTTGCAATGTTTGCGAAGTATTGACGCAAAAGAGTTTAATAAATACACAAAATCGATAACATATCCGGTGTTGGGAACAGACTTTCTGCCCATTTCTGCACAAAAAGCATTTCAAGAAATGAAATTCAATTCAGGTTTAAATGAAATATTAACTGCACTAATGACTAGGATTTAAAATTGTTATAAATCTGATTAGATGTGGACATAATAGCCGGTGTGGCCACGAATGAGGGATCAATGTTTGGGGCAATCTTTGGTTTACAGCCCACTGGGAACACCACTTTGGATGACATTAAGAAAGCCATCAAAGCTGCTGATGATGTCTACCATAATCTGGATATTCATAAACTCGAAGAATTTTATTTGAGAAATGTTGACAAAACCAGTCCATTAGCTCTGAGGGAAGCCTTTTCTGACTTACTCGGAGATTTAATGTTGAAATGTCCCACATACCAGTTTGCCAAACAATTTGCTACGAGTGTTCAAAATGAGCATCAAGTCTATTTCTACCAGGTTACTTATATGAGTAAAACGTTTGCCAAAGCAACTCATTGTGATATGCCAGGGATGGGGATATGTCACTGTGCTGAGGCTGAATTTGTATTTGGGGAACCAGTTACCTCGGCAGATTACAGTGAACTAGATAAAAAGTTTAGCCTGGTTATAATGAAAATGTGGACTAATTTTGCTAAATATGGGTAAATATAAATTATAATTTCATTAAATTTGCTGTGTTTAAATTAATTTGTCTTATGTATAGCCAACCGGACATAGAGTGGCCACATTTGTTCAGCAATAATACAATTGAAGTTAAAAACCTAAATCCTAACCCCAGACCCAATTGGTTTGTCAATCCATATGCGGCTACTTGTGATGGTGTTTGGAAAGACTACTTCTTGTAATCTAATAAAATGACTATTATCACCAGGCGTACCGCGAAATTTATTAATAAACATTAAAAATAAAATAAAATTATTTATTTTAAACTGTTATTTTTCAATGTTATTTTCAATGCTAAAATAAAATCTCAAGTACAGTTGATATTCGCAATGATCGTAACGTAAGGTTAGCGTAGACCAGGATGTCATTATTTAATCATGTTTTATTAGGTAAACAATTA